TTGTTTTCCCCCCCCCCCCCCCCATTCAGAAATAAGCGGTATAGATAATGGATGGACTGAGATTGCATAGAGATCTAAATCACGCTCACTATGGGAGCAAAGTTATTTATTATTTATTTATTTGTTTCTATTCATTTCCTTTATTAATGAATGAAAGTTGCAGTCGTAAAACTTCACTATGTAATTTAACTGAAATAAATTAAAATCCTGTCACATGCTGTCTTTATCCTTATGTTTTCCTCACAGCATAAGGATAGGTTTATTGTTTGCACATAATGTTGGCTCTCTTATATACAGTTTGAACATTAGTTACATGATTTCTTATTATCACAACCAGGCACTCATTTTATAAAATCCTCTAATTTCTACATAATAAGCAAAACATTATTATTATTATTATTTTTTAATCAAACTGCTTCAGGTTGTCAATGGACTATGTTCTATGTGGTGACTATGGGTAAAGATCGTCTAGATTGCACAACGTTTTGTTTCTGAACAGTCTTGTTTTGTTTTTCTGGTCCAACAACATATGAAGATTGATTTTCTTTTAGTCAGATATCAACATTATGTGAAGTCTGTATTTGGATTCATTTCTGGGTCTCATTGATCAGCATGCTTTTAGTTTTGAGAATTTTGAATGTGTTTTTTCCTGACTGGCAGTGACAGCTTTGTATTCATTTCACTCCACTGTAACAATCAACTTAAATCTAAACTGCATTATCATATTGCAGATTAAAAGCAGAAAGTGTTCCCTGAGGGACCGTCTGATACAGCGGTCTCTGACACATCACTCGCGAGCTACCAGTAGCTCGCTCCCCTATTCCGAGTGGCTCGCCTAAAGGTTCAGAGAATATACAGTATGTAGCCTACAATGCACGAATGATAAAACTAAAAAAGTTACACAACAGAACTTCACTCAGTATACCTGCTCAGACTGTGATCCAAATGTACAGATGACCCACCAAATTGGTGGGTGACTGGCAAATACTAATCAAGTTAATTACTCTGCTGTC